AAAACGAGGATTTCGCCACAAAGGGCACTGTACGACTACTCTTACCATCAGCGACCTCCAGCACGCCATCGTGGCCAAGACCTACGGACAAGGACACTAAGACGAAGATCAAACGCCAAACCAGTACACGCATATCCAGGCGCATTACGTCAACCACGGCGAGGCAGAACTACACATCTACAAGAAGCTCCACTTTCAACCTACGTGCAATTCCTGGTGGGTCGAGATATTTCATTGGCGCAACGCATCAAAATTACAATGCGACTGATGAAGAATACTAGAACACCATGTCTTCACTGCCGCCTATCCATCCGTACAGCAAACGTGGACCTACAGCTACCACGGAGAGACCACAGAAGCGCATACGCGGGGATCACATTACCGGAATTACTACTTACGTATACGACTGGTTCTCGAACCCAGTAGCTACATGTTACATATTGATTGTTGCCTCGACACATACGATGTACTACATCACGCCAATGCACGATATTTTTCCCTGGAGTGAGCAACAAAATTACGCCGTCTACTGCGCTACGGAAGAAAGTACTACATGTGCTACGGTACATACAAGGTAATACGTTTCGAATAACACGCAAGATGTGAGAGGCACGGACGCCCTCCACCCCTTTGTCATCGTTCCTTCAAGACCTGTTGGGTCTCGGGCGTGTGGGACTGGTCGGATAAAGCCCCTACTCTTCCCCCTCCTTGCCTCAAACGGAAAACAAAGCACCCGGACGCGGGTGCGTCCCGCGGCCGCGCGCGAGGGGCCCCCCTGAGGCGCCAGCGAGCGGCGCGGACAAGGAATCGTTCCGCAGCGTTGCGAGAAAGAGTGAAAAGAAGAGGAGGAGGAGGAGGGAGGAGGGAAGGGGAAGGTCGATGGATGAGGAGGGGGAAGAGGTTGGAGCGTCTGAGGGCGCCGTGCCTCAATGATCACCGTGCTGCCGCCGAGTAGAACAGAGAGGTGGCGCGCGCGCACGGGGTCGCACAGGCGCCAGATTTAGGCCCAGACCCAGGAGCTGGAGGCTCGCCGCTCGGTTCCCTCCCTGCGCGCGCGGGCTATCTCTCTCTCTCTCTCTCTCTCTCTCTTCCCGTCTCTCGTTCGGGCGCCCTGCCCTGGTGTGACCACGAGGGAGCTACGCAACTCGCTACCGAAACTGTGTTAAAGTCCTGACTGATAGAACTCCCGCGCGGGGAGCGTTCTCTGGCTGTGGCGATTGGCTAGACAAGCATCGCTCAAAACTGATCGGTTCTGTGCTGATCTGCAAAGTTCGGTCCACCCAATACAAGACTCACGCTTGAAAGCGCACAGTGGGCCTGGCGGGGCCCTCAAACAATAAGAGGCTCAAGTGAACGGACGGATGTACAAGTACGTACAACATAACAAGCAGAAATCCTCCTCCTCCTTTTCCTCCTCATCCTACTTCTCCTCTTCCTCCTCCTACTTTTTGATGCTGCGCAAACTAGGGGACTGAGCCTGAAGCGTAACATGTGAAAAAATACATGGCCGACTTAGGCCCACAACAGAAAATTAGGCCTGGCTGGCGCAGCAGAAAAAGGACAGGCGCAAAAAGTGAAGCAGAAAACGGTAGGCCCGCAAGGCTAAGAGTATGCGCCAGCCAGGCTGTGGGGAAGGAGGGGGCCGAATCGATACGAGCCAATTGAGCACAGTGACCTTGATAAACGAGGGGATGCACCGAACGAGGGAGAGGCGAAATATGCACGCAAGCCTACAAGGGTCTAGGATGGCGAAGTTTAACTGCAAGCTAAGTGCTGACTACACCCTGCAATGGCCTAGTAGCAGTTGATGGGTCGAAGGTCTCTCCAGACCCAACCATATCCGAGCGATCCTCCACCTCCCCCACCCCTATGTCCACTACCCGTCCCACTCTCTCATCGGGATGGCAAGGTAAATCACGCAAGAAATAACAGAACAGGCGACGTCATAAGCAAGTGTCAGGTAAATGCAGAGACCAAGGTGGAGTGGGGATGAAAAGTACGGTTGCTGAGTGGGGCTTAATGCTGGCACATTTGAAGGCTGGCCTGCGCTGTACCTGCAATTTGCTGACCTAGTGTGGCCGCGAAATGTTTTCCAGGGGGCTCGATAAGCTGCCAAATGCTTCCCCCTCCAAACCACAAGATCAGACCGCCAAACAGTACGGCAGGGTACTTCCAAGCAGAGATGTCCTCCCTCCCCAATCCCTTTCCGATCCCTCCCTCCTCCTCCTCCTCCCCATCCTCCTCCTCCTCCTCCTCCTCCTCCTCCTCCTCCTCCTCCTCCTCCTCCTCCTCCTCCTCCTCCTCCTCATTCGCCTCCGCCTCCTCCTCCTCCTCCTCCTCCTCCTCCTCCTCCTCCTCCCCGGGAGCACCACGCGCCCATGGCCCTGAACGTCGCGCACGGTCGGCGGAGGTATCCGGCGACGGCCCCCACTCATGCTCCCTCTGCTCGGTGAATTCCGACAGCATGGTATGCACGGGCATCCCTGGCGCTGCGGCATCCCTGGCGGCGCTGGCCGAGGACGAAGGAGGCGTAGGGGGAGGAGAGGGACAAGGAACAGGAGAAGGAGGGGGAGGAGGAGGACAAGGAGGAGGACAAGGAGGAGGAGGAGGAGGGCAAGGAGGAGGCGGACGGGGTGGAGGACGACGACGACGACGACGACGACGAAGAAGACGAAGACGACGACGACGACGACGACGACGACGACGACGAGCAGGTGGGAGGACAACGTCTGCCTCGTTAGCGGCGACGTGGGGCACGAAGCGATATGTAGTAACGGCCGGGTCGCGAAGAGCTCATGGTGCACCTGTACGGCTTGAGCAAGATGAGGGGTGGCGGCGGTGTGTGGACAGAAAATGGGACAAGCGGCACGGCCCCTGGGGGGCTCAAGGGGGCCGTGTGCACCGCGGCTGTCCCGAGAGGGGAGATGCTGCGAGGCGGGGACTTATCCATATCCACCGCCTGGGAACCGACGTCCTGGTGTCCCAGCGGGCGTTGGATATGCGTATATTTGGGCCCCCGGGGGCCCGAACATATCCACATCCACCGCCTGCCGAGGTCCCCGAAATTTGATCCGCCAGGCGGTGGTCGTGTATAAACTTCCGCCCCTGAGATGCCTCGCAGAGGGCCGAATGCACGCTGCGCTGGCCCCGCGCGGCCGATGGAAGCGGTGCCAGGGAAGGCGCCGGAGCAGCCGTGGCGCAGAGGGCGGCTGCCCCCCGCCGCGCTGCAAATAGCAGCGGCGGGGGGGGGGCGGCCGGACAGAGCCTGCAGGGCCGTCGCAGGCCGAGGGACGGGAGAGAAGAGAGAGGGGGAGGTCGCAACAGCTCGGGCGGAGTGCCCGTCAGGGCGCGGGGCACCAGCGCCCGCCGCGCCCACCTCGTGCGGCGAGAGAGAGAGAGAGAGAGAAATGAAACAAAAATAAGGGGGACAAAAAAAAAACAAAAAAAAGGAGAGAGAGAGAGAGAGAGAGAGAGAGAGAGAGAGAGAGCGCCAGGGAAGCGGAGAGGGAGGGAACGCGTCGCACAGAGAGGAGCGGCGCGAGCGCAGGAGCGGGCAGGGAGGCAGGGAGAGGGAAGCACGGGGCAGCGAGGGGGAGGGGGGGTTCTTCGCTGCAGGCTCACCACTGGCCATCGCTCGGACGTCCATTCCCTGTGTTTTTGTTCGGTTTCGTGCGTGCCTTTTCGCCAAATGATCAAGGATGCTCCTCGATGGCCCTCGCCGAAGGAAAAATGCACACGTCCGAGCGATGCCAAGACCATGGCAAGAGCGAGAAAAACTGCGGGGCTCGCTGGGGTCGCCTGGGCGTTCGCGCCTGGTGCCTGGGCGGACCTAGGCCAGATGGAAAGCCGACTACAGTCGGGCAAGTTACAGGGGAAGGGCTGGGGCGGGCGTGAGAGAGGGTAGGGAGGGGTGGGGTTCGGAGGAGGGCTCTCGCAGAGGAGGGGGAGGAGGAGGAGGAGGAGGAGGAGGAGGAGGAGGAGGAGGAGGAGGAGGAGGAGGAGGAGGAGGAAGACGAGGAGGAAGACGAGGATGAGGAGGGTGCAAGGAGTAAATGCAAACTATACCTATGAAGCTGCACTGCGCTTTGCCGTCGGCCACTTTTCTCCACAAGTTATAACCTTCGATTGCCAATCGGAAACCTAAGGCAAACCCGAAGGCAAACTGCAAAACCGCTGAGGAACACTGAGCCCCTCCTAAACGAACAGGGTACCTTCTGCAGCGCCCCGACGGTAGTTTTGGAAGCCGTTGGAGGCCACTCGCCAATTCATCCGATGCTGGCTCCACGAGCGCATTGCCCGAAGCTTGTAGCAATTGCCAGGATGGAGGGCTGCTGATTTTCAAAGTGGGGTCCTCGAATTGGAGCCGCGCACGTTCGTCTCAACAGCTTGCAGCAAATAGAAATATGGAGGGCTGGCAGTCTTCGAAAAATTCGATGTTCGCCCTAGCGCCGCGCACATTCGTCCTAAAAGCGTACAACGGTTACAAGGATGGAGGCCGTTTCGTTTTCAAAATGCGGCGTTCGCTTAAGACTCCCACAAACTTCAAATGGGCCACAGCTACAGAGATGGACGGGCGGCTCCTTTTCAAGATGAGGTTCTCGCAGTAAAAGCGTCCTCGAATTTGAACACGCGGCTGTGTGCGACAGATGCGTGGACGGAAGATGGCCCATGTTCAAAATGATGCTGTCGCCGTCTACGTCCGCAAGCACACTGGCCAGAACAACTGCAAATGTGCAAAAAATACGCGGCTGGAAACAGGTCCTTCTCGAGGGAAAAATATCGCCAGACACTTCCGTGAGCCTTATCATCATACTTTTTGATACTTGGTTTTGCTAGTATTATGTGAGCCTGCTGGGGGGAGGGACTCCCCCTGACCCTCCACGAGGCCAAAACCCTTCCTCGACTCGAGGAAAAAACATGGCGTTGGCCTTCTCGCTGTTTGGTTTCCGATGGGCGTGGCCTCACGATGGTCCCAAGGAGGGCCCCAAGACGGCCTCAAGAGCGCCCCAAGAGTGCCCCAAGAGCGCCCCAAGAGAGCTTCAAAGGGCACGCGTTGGGCCACCGATAGGGGGACCTGAATTTAGGACCACCTCCTCCTCCTCCTTCTCCTCCTCCTCCTCTTACTCCTTCTCCTCCACCACCTCCTCCTGCTCCTACTCCTCCTCCTACTACTCCTCCTTCTCCTCCTCCCTCCCTCCCTTCCTCCCTCCCTCTCTTCCTCGCTCCCCCCCTCCCTCTCTCCTCCCTCCTCCCTCCTCCCTCCTCGATCCTCCCTCCTCCCTCTCCTCCTGCTCCTCCTCCCTCCCTCCTCCTCCTCCTCCTCCTCCTCCTCCTCCTCCTCCTCCTCCTCCTCCTCCTCCTCCTCCTCCTCCTCCTCCTCCTCCTCCTCGTAGCCACCCCTGCCCAAGCGATCGCGCACCTGGGGCAAGCGTCCCCACATACCTGATACCGTACTTCCGCTACGGCCAGGCCCCCCGCGGCCATCTCGCCCACACTCTCTTTTGCGAATTGCGATGCGTCGATGCTCAGATTTCTCTCGATGCTGAGCTTCCTTCATTGGAATGCTATGAGTGTTGTGGGCGAGATGAGGCTGAATGACATCAGCGAAGATTTTTCACAAGTGGATCTGATAGCCCTTACAAGCACGGGTGAACGTGCCTCACAAGAACAGGCGACGATCAGGTCATCGTGCAGGTTTCATTTCTGTATTCCTTCTGGATTTGCACCGAGCCGCCACGCCAACAAATCGTGCTGCATCATTATGATGATACGCAAGAGGAAGTTCAGGGCCAAACATGCGATCGACACGCCAGCGATTCCTCAGCAACTCAGAGGGCGAGTGGCTCTACATAGGCTGCGCTCTGGCCGCTTCGACATAGTGATCCCGATATGCTACTTCCCTCCGCGACCATCAGCGCGCAGGGAAGGTCGTGAGTCAGTGCAGCCTGAGGCGCATCGCAAGTACCAGCACACGGTGGACACGATGTGTTCGTGGCTAGAGCGCGTCTTCAGCTGGACACCGAAGAGGGCTAGTCTATTCTGGGGATTCGGCTTGAATGATTCGTTCGGATGGAGAAGACGAGCAGGTGGTCAGGCTCTGGTGGTTTCACGTGCGCTGGGCAAGTATTGCAATGCCGAGCAGCATTACGCGAGCGAGAGGGTTCTAGAGGTGATGGAAAAGTATGCAATCCGTGTTGTTTCGACAGATTTCCCGACTGGACCAACATATGTGGGATCGGTCTCAACGTCGTGTATCGATTTCATAGCTACGTTCGAGTGGCAAACGGCTGATGTGACGCAGCGTATTCCTCTGGTACGGTCCAATATGAGGCTGAACCTGATCCAGAAGCAAGGTGCGCGCGACCACATCCCCCTGTTGATGAGGGTTGCGTACACCTTCGACATGTCCCACTCCCAGGCGGAGCAGACGGCCTGGGACTTCGATCGGCTCGCACAGGCGCTTCGAAAAGGGAGGGGAGTGCAGGAGTTTATCGGCGAGCTAGAGCAGGTCTTTGAGAGCGAGCCTGACTACCACGACTTGTGTCTGACGGCGCCTGCTCCCGACGATGCATGGGCCAGATGGATCACAACAGTATATGAGGTGGCCGAGCGACACTTCGGACGGCGACAGGAGGATACGAGGGCGCGTGAGTACGCTGCTGTTCGCTCGAGGCTCCTAGCTGAGAGACGGCGACTACGAGAGGTGGGCGGCGATGAGGATGGGGTGCGCCTACAGCTGGCACGTGCGTCGAGACGGCTGAGGATGCTGAGGCGTGCGAGGCTTGAGGAGACGACGGCCGAGCTGGTCACCGAGATCGGGGAGGCGTGGCGAGGCAGGCGCCACGCCGAGCTGTGGAGGCTGGCGCACGTGCTGGCAGGCCGCTGTGGCGGCCCGAAGAAGAGGAGGCATAACGTCGCAGAGGAGTTCGTGCCGCGCTGCAGTGAGGTGCAGCAGTATTTCTCTCTCCCTGGCCCAGAGGGTGGTCTTCGTGCTGTCCCTGTGAACTATGCCGAGTACCAGCAGCTGCGATTGGAAGGGCTCCCTCCCCCCGCGTCGTTTGGCTCGGACAATTTCGTGCACGTGGAGGAGGGGAGAGACGACCTGGCAGAGGTGACGGCCCTTCTCGAGCGGGCTCCACGTCGCAAGGCGGCTCCCGTCCACAGCGTACCGTGCGAGATCCTGATGCTAGTGTTGTCACCGAATCGGCGCTTCGACGGCACCTGCAGACGGCCTCGGAAGCGTGACGAAGACGACGGCGACGAAGATGAGGCTCCTACGAGAAGGAAGGAGTTTGTCCCACGGCATCGTCTGGCAGGAGATCGCAGGGGCTTGGGCGCTGAGGTCCCGACGGTCGAGAACCCCCATACGGTGCGAGCCATACAGAAGATATGCCATCATATCCGCCGTGTGGGCCGCACGCCTGTTGTGTGGCATCACTCGCAGGCTACAGGCCTCTCAAAGGCCAACGGCAAGGAGGGCTTCAGTGCGAGGAGGTATAT